TCAATTAAACTTGGTACATAGATTTTCTGTTACATTGCGCAGACCTCATTAGTTTTACACTCAAATCTGTTCATATTAATTTTCTGATTTGCATAATTAGTTTTCTGCTAAGTAATTTCAAATTATATTTAATGTGTCTCCAATACTCTCAGCACATGGGAGTTCTTTCTAAACTTTCTTTGATTTTGTATTGTTGTTGTTATTATTATTGGACATTAATCAAGGTTTCTTTGGTACATTCCACCACCACCACAACCACCATATTACAATCTTATTACATTTATCCCAAAAGATCCTCATGCTTGATTCAAATACAAATAAGATGCTTTTATTGGCTGTAGAAACCTTTTGGAAATGTTCATTACCTACAAGTCCCTGTAGGATCCTCAATCACACCTATAAATATTGTATAGAAAACAAGTTCACGCGTTTTTGAAACCCAGTGTACTGAATTAAAATTGGATTAAACTTCAGAAACAGTGGTGTTCTATAAAGAATAAAATCAAAATACACTGTGTCAAAATTAACATTGTCTGCAGAAATAAAACACTATAGACCCCCCCCCCCCCATCCAACATTTTTTTGAAAGAAACAGTTTTGGTCAGCAAAGCCATTTTGAGTAAAAGAACTCACTTTCTGGTCTTTGTATAGTTTCTCAAATTTCTTGTGGGTGTGCTGATTATATTAAAATAATTAAGTTCTGGATTTGAAAGGCTATCGTGTTACTTCTAGTTGTGAACTATTCCACCAAGTTCATTGCACAGTACATGCTAAGCAATAATGAATGTACCCACTGCTAAAACTTACACATACCACATAAGAATCCAATCAACTCTCCAATTTCAACAGCAATTTATAAATCTGTCTTTTATGTCTGTCATTTCTAACCCTCTGATCCATAATTAAACTATATTTAATATTACATGTACCAGTGTAATACATAAACAATTTTATAAAATGTTATTGTTGGTTTTCAAATCCTCCTGTAACTAGTGTTTTCTAATAAACAAGTGTAAATATATGAATAGTTTTTAGTGAGATCTAATTTATGTTTTTAATATTCAATTTACGTGTTATTTATTTAATGTGGATCTATTATTTTTCATCTGAATCAGTAATATCAATTATTGGTTTTAAAAAAAATTAGTTCTTTGGGTTACTTTCCATGGAAATTGATATTTTCCACTAATAAATACATTGTACATTTGTACTACCGGTAATGAAATTTAAATACTGGTTACTGTATGTATTATTGGTTTCAGTTATCAGCATGTGGTAATTCTTTAATTAGCTTAATTAATAATACATAATTGCTTCTAAATAATGATCTACCAATCTGTAGTGTAGAAACAAAGGATCAGCACAAAATACTTTTATCTTGCTTGAAACGACAGTCCCTTTAATTCCATTTTTGTAATTGATCTCTTGTGTTTATTTGAAGTAGAATAATGGTGAAGAGAAATGTTTTAGAAAAACACTAGAACTAGCATATTTTAGCATTTTTCTTTTCTTTTGCAAATAAAAATATGTATGTTGATGCAAAACAATAACTTTGAATCCTGAATATTAATACTTTAACCCAGTCATTTTACAGGTACAAAAATATATATTACTCGTATTTGTTCAACATGTCTACAGTACAGTGCGATGGGTGGTGTTTGACTACAGCAGTCAAAATTGACAGGCAGATGAGTTAAGAATAAATCCATGAGTAGATGAAGGTCCTTGTAACTTGTACTATAATATGAGTAGGCAGAAATATAGCATAGTCTGAGTGTTGAAGCATGGACTCTATGGAGTCTATGGTTGAAGTGTCTTGTTTAATTCTAATCTAGATATCTGCGTAATCTAAGATACTATATCATTATTTATCATAGCTTCACCTTTGCAATCACACACACCCAAACACCTAAGGTTACAAAATACCTTCAAGTAATTTAATGTAGTGAAGAGATATACTGATTATTTTAATTTAACTAAGGTTTCCATGGTGAAGCATCCATTTGGCCTTTAAAGGCTTCTGCAACAGTATCCGATATTATCCATCATACTGAAAATCAAGCAGTCAAATAGCACACCAGTACGATTGTGTACTACTAGATCTTGTACTGGCAGTTCACCCCTATGTATAACTGCTATGTACCAGCACACATATCAGCTGCTGACCTATATCACATGTAATTCCCATTTAATTGCCAGCAATAAATTCATCAATAACAACTTTCATAATAACAATAGATAACAATTACATGATAATTTTATAATAAAGCTATAATGATATAAATATACCTAATTTATGTTTTTAATATCCTATTTCGATGTTGGATGAATATATATTTTCACTATTGGTTCATCAGAATAAATATTAAAGATTGAGTCAGACAAAATAAACCTATTTTTTGGAATTTGATATTTTCTATTATAAGAGAAATGGAATTATTATTCTAAATAATATCGCCATGACACTGGACCACCTGGTGGCTTTTTTATTGCATATGATCCAAAGGTAGAGTTTAAAGCTTATATACCGATAGTGACATAGACATTGTATGGTTTGGATATTCTTTTCAGAATTGTTCAAAGATAGATACAATGACCTTAAAGTTTCTGCCAATCATGATTATAAAAATATGGTTAAGTATAAGTGCATACGTCTAACTATTTGTAAAATATTTATTGTGATTTCATCTTTATTCATTTAGTAACCTGCTTGATAATTTCTTATTTTATCCTGCTTTATACATCCCATTATTTACACTCCAATCAGTGTCCTCTAATATTTCTATTTCTACTTTATTTGGACCACTGCCAGTGATTCCTGTTATATCCTGAAGATCTATATATATATATATATGGTTGTTACGTTCGTGTCTGTACCAAATAATGTAGTGTTTTAATAATAATAATTTATATTATTTATATTATTTACACTCCAATCAGTGTCCTCTAATATTTCTATTTCTACTTTATTTGGACCACTGCCAGTGATTCCTGTTATATCCTGAAGATCTATATATATATATATATATATATATATATATGGTTGTTACGTTCGTGTCTGTACCAAATAATGTAGTGTTTTAATAATAATAATTTATAGCAATCATAAATAAGGAAATGATGAATAGTAAAAAGTAGGTGGTTGAAAAAATATTTCCTTTACTATAATGGCTAAGTGTTGCTTGTGTTATGGGTGTGGCATCAATAGCAGTTTGTTATTTATTTGAGAAGTATTTCTGCCAAAGCTCTATACTAATTCATTTGAGATGTCATCTTTGTCATGTGCTTGATGTAACCTTGAACTCAGTAATATGTTATTTCAGCCTCAAAGGGCAGCTGATCATTGTATGCATTTGATATGGATACATCATACATTCATGAATACACATAATTTGAATATATGCTGCACAATAATTTCCACACCTGAATTTTGCTTATATTTGATACTTTCTTGCTGAAGCACTACCAGTAATGAGTTGCTTTATCATAATATATGCATATGAATTCTATTAATTAATTTATACTCATTGTTTCGTCTTGTTTTATGGTGCTGTATATCATATGTGTACATGTCACTACAAAATATACGGTCACATGGACTGAGTAAGAACAATGTTGCCATATGCTCATCCCTTTTAAAAAGGTTGCTACAAATACGCAATTGGAGAACTATTTATGATTTCCATTAAGCTCATCAAATCTGGTGAATTCTGTAAGCTGATAAATCTGTCGGTAATCTTTTGATAATTTAATCTTGACTAAATTTGTCAAAAGTCACTGTACCCCCTCTAAATAACACCAGTGACTTTTCACTGATTCAAAATATCATATTTTTGCATGTCTACTTCCAGTAATCCTTCTTACCCATTTAAAATTTAAAAAGTTTATTTTATATGAATGAATTTATTTCTCTATAGCTGTGGTTGTTGCACCAATGTAATTTTTTCATTTCATATCTTCTTTTTATGGCGAATATATATAGTGACACTCAGTTTTCAGGATATATTTTCTTTATACAACTAATTTAATAGATGCCATTTTTATTAATCATCTGTAGTTATCTGTCCTAATTTGCCAGCAAAATAAAAACAAAATTGAAATAATTTAAATTCTATCTGGGACACAAAAGTCCTCAAAATTAAATTATTTTTCATTACATTTTTCATTGTATTGACATAATATACAGCATGTTGTAATTTTGTGGTTTTGCACAAGGACTCTGCATCCTACCTTATTAGTAAATGTGAATTCCAAATTCCAATTTCCAAGATGGAGGATATTTAAAAACAAAGTTCATAGTGAGGTAGTTCCACTAATTTTCACATCACATCAACCATTGCTATGTATCAGTATCCTCATTAGTATCCTATATTGATATGTATTGAGTACATACACCAGTATATCAGTGCAGAATCCTTTGCTATAGACTAGAGACTCCTAAAAGCTGTGTACTAATTATACCATGTCAACTCTCAAAGACACTAGTAATTAGGGACATTCTTGTGATATATTTCAAGACCAGTACCAAATAAATAAACACATCAGTGGAATACCAGGCCATGACCCCATAACAAATGTCACCTAATTCATACACTCATTACACTAAAGTAATTTCTGTTTTAACAGGTGGAATAAAACTAAGGTATTATTAGTTTAGCTATAATCTAATGTAATTCAAGACAAAAAGAAGGACACAATGTAGTAATCAGTGTAATCTAATTTTACTTTCTCCGGGTGGTTTGACCTTTGATTTGTATACTGCAAATCATATGGCGACAATGATATATTCTCATACATAAAAAAATCCATATTTCAGTCAAATGCCTAAGATATTAAAAAATATAATTGTAATATTTTTACAGATTTTCAAATGTCATGTGAATAATTATATTGATTTTATTGTTTAAAATTCTTTAATTTTTGCTTTAATTTTTAAGTGTTGATTGAATATTCTTATATTAGTGATAGCAGTAATGTATTTCTTGTATCTGGCCACTCTATTATTTTACCGGTAGTAATCAAGTGTGTTGTACATTTTACACGGCTTTTATGTCAAGTTCAAATGCGCCATATGTTCCATATTATAATACTTAATAAATAATTTTGTATTTGCACCTTTGTTGTATATTCTGGCATGCTGTCAATGACCTTGTTGTTTTTTTATTTCTGTTACCATTTAACCTTTGAATTCTAATAACAATTAGTATTACATAATTATGTATTGCAGTTTATTTTGATTCGTCCCTGAAATCAAAATCTGTATTTCCACAACCCATATGCAAATGAGGTCTGAGAGCAAACAAAGTAGTCCCTTCAGGAGTACAGTTTTTCGGAATAAACAATATTTAGAAGTACGATATTTTCCCCTTGGGGTACATGAATATACTTGCCGAGTGAAATGAAATTTGAACAACAGTAATGGTACTTTTAGGCAGTCACTTGTTTTGGCCCAAACTAATTTGCATATCACCCATGCAATAATGTTTTTGGTATTCTCACGGTCGATATGCAAATGAACATGGTATTTTCATTGGCTACCGAACTATTTTTTATTTTGTAAACCATTTTCGTCTGCTTTTTTTATCCAGTTCAAATCGTTCAACAACATTCAACAACAACACTCGAGATGCGGTGTATTCTGCTGTACTTTCACTCGCTTCGCTCGTGAAAGTACGGCCGCAGGATACACCGCATCACTCGTGAAAATAACTTCCATACGCAACAAAGGCACAGGGAGGGTGTGGGGTTCTGTCATAGTATTTATTTGTAGAGGTTATTTTGAGGGATCACCAAGGTGAAACTATTTATACATCATAAAATAAAAAATAAATAACACAATTTCTGGTCAGCTACTTTTTAGGTCACATACACCAGCATGTTGTAGGTATCATGTGAACCATTTCCAACATATTTGGTAGAACCTTGGTTGACAGTTATTGAACAAGCTTTGTTAAAATTATTAATTAGAAGAATTAACATGAATGCTTGGTCATTTTCAATATTTGATCAAATTTTATGTAAAGTAAAAATAGAATATTTAAAATACTGTAAAATATTTAATTTTCACTGCTTGAAATTCTCATGATTCAGGATCGTATATCATTCGTAAAACCAACATTTCATGACTCCATGTTGTAGTACCCTAGTGAATTTATCACTGCTACAAATGTTTGTGATTTTCACTGCCTCTTGCAAAATTATATTAGTTTATGGTATAGTCAATAAAGTGGTTTGTAAATTACAAGAAACAGGAAAACTAACATTTCTAAAAACATGACTGTCTGTTTTATTCTAGGGTGTTATACCGCTTGGTAATTCTATAATAAGTTCTATAGATGATCCACTGAGGAATTGGTCATTTAAAATTGAGCATGAAGATTACAATGTAAGTTATTTATCATGTAAACCACAAACAAAATTCTTGTATATCAGACAGCTTTCAACAACTACTGTAAAATCTGTATTAGAAGCCGCAGATTTTATTAAAATGGTACAATGCAACAGAGGGGATGTGGCTTTTATTAGATCATCTACACATATGAGATATGGTGAATTTTTGATTTTTAATTGTTAAAAAAGAATGAGTGTGGCTTCTATTAGGGATGCAGCTTCTAACACAGATTTTATGCTACTGTATCTGTTCTATTAACCAATGTGTTTTGTTGTATAGGGAGTGCCTTTAAAGTGCCTGTGCAATGCCCACCCACACACTTCCCATTTTAGATCTGTGCCTCACTGAAATGGGCAATTATTGATTTTTTTTGCTGAAAATGATTACTCGTATCCAAGTAAATTTGAGATATTTCCCGTGCTGTAGCAACGCCCACCTATCCTGAAACGGTCGACTGTTTCCGGATTTCCGACTCTCGCCGAAAGGGCGCCACCAAATGCAAAAATAGGAAGCCATACCCCTGGGCCGTACTTTTATATCACTGTGTCATTCAACGTACAACTGTACTTTTTAACGATATACATTTTTTAAGCACGACTACTTTATTCCGTGGTCTAAACACTACTGCCTCGTGTTAGCCTTGAGTCACACATGTGACAAGTTTACATTCTGGCGGGCAATCTCAAGTTACATTAACGTGATAGGCTATAAACTATAGTGACGTAATGTAAGATAAAGAATATCATACGGTATCCCCAAATATGTTAAACATAGAAATCTGTTCCCAACATTCTTTAATCGGCGTTTCTTTTGTCTATTTTATTTTATTTTTGAAAGAGCGAATTTTTAGAAGTTGTTTTCACAACAATCTTTTATGATGGTTAAACGTTGTGTTGTGGGCTGTTGCAGTAATGGGTATAGTCATAGTGTAAGTATTTACACGTTTCCAATCGATCCAAAGGTGCGAAATCGGTGGACGAAATCGGTGGACGAAAGCCGTGAAAATAACGAGAAAAGGTTGGGGTGGACTTCCTCCTAACAGCGTCATATGCAGTGTCCACTCCTGCACCTCAGATTCTTTTTTTTTGAAAAACTGTCCTTGTCCATGACAAAACAACTAGGTTTAAACGAGAAATGCCGACAATACAAAACGTTTTCGAAAAAATAGATTCCGGACCAGCCCATGATCACTGAAACGGATTTCAGAAGGGGGAGAGACGTCGAGTATGTGTTTCAAATAATTTGATTTTTTTTTGCGATCCTGATTATCGCTTTATAGAGACCACCCGTGTTATGTAAAAAGGTAGCAGTAATTTTGATAATGATACGAAAATGAAGCGTCAGACAAGCAGGAAATTACGCAGCCCTCAGGCTGTTTTCATTTTTCGTAGGCTAAAAGTGTCTTGAATTGTTCGGTTATTGGTGTTGAATGTTCGAATTCACACCTTTGTTGCCTTTACTTGCAGCTTGATCGGCGTAATAATTTACGGAATAAGAATCCGGGCTTGAGCTGTCAATGTATTTTTTTAATATGATGTCATAATCATGAAAATCATGTTAAATCCGCTCTTGAATTTGTCGTATGTGAGTCGCTCTTCAATTATTTTTGTTATCCAATTAAACGCCGCCATTCACGCACTTGCCCCCCCCCCCCATGACCTGACGCGTTCACCCATTACAACGCAGCAGTCATTTATTTAGTAACTGTGTTTTGTCATTTTTTAAAAATTATTTCTCTATTTTATAAATCAATAGTGTCTAGTAACCTGCTAAATAACAAGACGATTCAGCCGTCAAATTTGATTTTGTCCAATGCCGGAGTCCAGCGACAGTGTACAAACGTGCTCCGGTGACGGTGACGACCACGGTGACTAGCTACACCAGACCGGACATATTTCGCATCTGACTCAACCCCATGCAACAAACTTGATACTATGTGTTCATTATGGTCCATTCTTCCTCGACGAACAAGAACATAAGTGGCAATTTAGTCAAAGAAGAGAAAACAGCACAAGAAATTTGTCTTATTTACACGTATCGGCAATGCAAGCTGCCCAGCGACTTCCCCTTCTGACGTCACAAGGGGAATTAAAATAAAATAAACAAAAATAAAGTTTCCGTAGACTGAGTTAAAACATATTTTTTCACTTAAAAAAAATTATTTATGCTTAGAAACATAAAAAAATAATAATATTTATGTATCAATGGATAATTTTAGGCGTGAAAATAGCAGCCATTTCACAGGCACTTTAAATCATAACTAGTGTATTCATGCACATAAAATTGTTATGCCACAGTCCTCACAGCATCAGTGAGTGCACAGCAATTTTATCTAATCTGTCAGTGTGATTCACCATGTAACGGCAGTGAGGTTTGCTTCCTAATAAATGAAGCATTACAAACCCCTATTATCCAATATAATTTACTGTCCCAGGTCAAGGTAAAAATGTTTGCTGCATCCTGGGATGAAGAGATGAGTTATGTTCATGTTTGGAAATCTCGACACGTGCTGAATATTTCTAATCCTTCAAGGGGTTGCAGTAGTTGCGGTCATGATAATTAATCAGGACCTCATCAGAACCCACTTGACTCGTGCCAAAATCGCATCCTCTTGCATCTGTTTTTTGTTCCATGTTGAGCTTTGTCCTGATTGATCATGTACAATATCGTGCCGAACTAGTCCATATTCTCAGAATGTGCCTAGATCCTTAACCTCAACAGAAAGACAGTAAAGTGCTTAATGGCCACAGTTTTACAAATATGAAAAATAAATAACAACTCTAAACTGTGTTTGTTTGAACAATATTATGTTCTTGCTATGAAATCATGTATGTGCTAAATGTTTGAAGAGAGATTATCCTCATTTGCGACCACTTACATTAGCTCATGCCAAAATCACACTATCATTGGTCCATGATATGTTAGTTGACTTTAACATGGTAGGCATGCATGCATGTTCTGTCCATGTGTTGATTATTTATTAGTCCCCGTTCGGACGGAGTCCGAAAACGGGGACTTATGTTTTGCCCTGTGTGCGTCCGTCCGTCCGTCCGTGATCACCTGTATCTCGAACATGCATGGACCGATTATGTTCAAACTGCACTCACACATCACACATTATATGGGACATATGCACATGCATTTTTTTCATGATCCGATTAACGATAGCCGAATAGCGGCCATTTTAAGGCCGAAAATGCATCAAAATCGCACATTTTCACCATTCCGGACCCGGATCTCAGTTATGCATGGACGGATTTCGTTCAAATTTGGTACATACATTAAACATAATAGGACCTTGATGCACGTCATTTTTTTTACCGGATCAAGTTCTAAATGGCCGACTGGCGGCCATTTTGTTTTAAAGAATTCAGTTCTGGT